TATATGACTGTGACATTCAACGCAGAGAGCTCAGAAAGCTCAGAAAGCTCATGGAACATAGCATAATGTCACGTGGTAACAAAGTACTTATGTAGTGGGAAGGGGTTATGTTAAGGATACCTTCAGTGTGTCATTGAGCAGGCTTTTAGGCCCACCCAAAAAATTCTGGACACAAAACAGATGAAAAAGCAGTCTGGTCTAACTTACAGTTCTACACAATTTATAGTCTTTGCACTTGTTTTCACAAGTATTTTCTAACATGTAGAATGTGTTCAGAAAGAAATCACTGATTTTACTTTACCCAGACTTTAAGCTTTGTATACACAGCTTAGTGTGTGTGTTTGTGGAAAGCTTACAGACAATTCTGGCCAGTGGAGTGATGCTGAGTCTCTTTGCGGCCTCTGCTGTCATTAAAACGAGAGCAGCTGCTCCATCGTTCAGTGTGCTGGCATTGGCTGCTGTCACCGTACCTATAATGTAAGTGACAATAACACCAAAATGTACATTCAATTCTTTTACCAAGCATTCTGATTACTATTATTACTTTAGCAACTTATCCAGTTACTTTAGCCTACAACAGGATGGTCTTATGGTTGAAATTGTTAAGGATATGTGTGAAAATGGTCATGTAATAACATTAAGTTAATGAACAGCAGAACAGCAGTGATGTTGATAGGTTTTCAAAATAGTGAGACCCTGGGATCCACAGCTGGTCATCTGAGTGAGTCACTTTCTGACACATCTTCCCCATCAGCACGGAAGATCTATACAATTACCACAGTTTCAAGGTAGACACCCAAGCTTAGTGTCACCAATTCAATATCTGACCAGAACATTATGATGACACAGTGAAGCTGACAAATCACCTTTGGGATGTAAAATGTCATCACTTCACTGTTTTATCATATTAAGTATCCCTTGGACCCATCAATAGTGAGGTTATTGCGTCCTTCCATTTCAGGTTTTAAAACATCAGGGATGAAAGTCATGTGCCTAGCAACATCACTGGAACAGTGCACCTTGACTAGGAAGCATAATAGTATAATGAGTTGTTACAGTGTGGAAGGTAAACTAGTAGCAGAAAAAATAAAAATGCAAATAAGTTATAAATAACCACATCCTTATATGCATTGTATTTGAAAGGAGCAGATTATTATTATTATTTTTTTTTTTTTGCATATGGTGGAAACAGCATTAATGTGCATGACTGTTCCGTAGAGTACAAATCTGTTTTGTTAGACAAAGTCTGGTTCAGTGTTATTCCCCTTCTCAGGTGATGAAATAATCAATAAATGAATGTAATCGCACTGTATCATTACCATTCTCTTTTTGGAACACTGCTTTCAGTTTGGGAACTTTGCTGAAGTCAACCCGCCTCCACTCTTCATCCTCGGACACGACCACATCAGGTTTGCCTACAAAACAACGACATCAGATAACCAGTACTGTTTAAAGTAAACAACTAGCACCACTGGCTTCCGACCAACTTGCTGTACCTTTCTGGGGAATGCTAACTGGTACAATCTCCTTTGCAAGCACGCCAGACTCATATGCTGCTTTGCTACGGCTGTATGAACCAATTGCGTAGGTGTCCTGCTCCTCTCTGGTGATGTTGCTGTTCTTGGCCGTGTTTTCTGCACAATTGCCCTTTAAAAGACGGTAAGGCAAAAGCAACAGAAAATAGATCATTTATGAAACTGACAAAATCACAAATTTAATGTAAGTGATGAAAAATGACAAGAAGAATTTTACAGGTATTTTTTTTTTTTTTCAACAAATGCTCTTTAAACATGAAATTACAGATTTCTCAAAAGCACATTTGTGTCACACACATTTCTGTAGCAGCTTAGTGCTAATGCATTGTTAGCATACACACATTATCAATTTACCTCTCACCTTGTACACTAATTTCCCGTGTCATAATATAGAAGCAAATGCAAAAATATAAGTAGGACAAACCCATTATTTTTTAGTTTTTGAAAAATTGTGAAGAAATTTCAGACTTATAAACAATTCTTCCCAATCATCTAATTCAGTTAACATTAACATTAAATAAAACTGGCTTCCTTAAAGCAACACTTACCTTTCTGGAAATTTTACGCTTTTCTTTGTTTAGGTTAAAATGCTATTAATAAGCTGATGGCACACTGAAATGTAAGTGAATTCCACCAGAGATGAAAACTCATAATTATACCATTCTCATATGGTTCTAAGAAAACTCTGACCAATCATTGCATTCGGACCGAATGCAGTGATTGGTTGGAGTTTTCTCCTGTCCTGTCTTCCCCACGTGGAGGCCTCCGACAGACGTAACCGCTCGCGTAACATCCCCCCCACACCCTCCACCCTGAGTCTGTGAGACAACAAATATGCTAGAAACAGGGACGCTTGTGGATATAAACTAGTAACAGGGACGCTTGTGGATATAAACTAGTAACCTGAGATGACCATGGTTTCGCCTGGAGCTGTCCCGAAGGGAAGATGCCGGCAGCGCTGTGACAGGATGCAGAAGCGGGGGAAGCGCAGAGGGGTTAGCTCTATGCTAACAGCTAACCCCATCAAACCAGCTGTTCCCAGCAGCCTTCTGGCGAACGTCCGCTCGCTGGACACGAAATGGATTACATCCGACAACGGAGATCCACTCACTGAGGAGTGAGGGACTGTTGCGTCCTTGAAGCTCCTGGTGTATACACAAACAATTCATGGTGCTGTGATGTGAAGAGGATCTCCCAGTTCTGCCCTCAGGATGTGGAGTTTTTGACAGGGACGCTTGTGGATATAAACTAGTAACCTGAGATGACCATGGTTTCGCCTGGAGCTGTCCCAAAGGGAAGATGCCGGCAGCGCTGTGACAGGACCCAGAAGCGGGGGAAGCGCAGAGGGGTTAGCTCTATGCTAACAGCTAACCCCATCAAACCAGCTGTTCCCAGCAGACTTCTGGCGAACGTCCGCTCGCTGGACACAAAATGGATTACATCCGACAACGGAGATCCACTCACTGAGGAGTGAGGGACTGTTGCGTCCTTGTGTTCATTGAGACATGGATGAATGGTAATATATAAGACGCTGGTGCTGAGCTAAGGAGGCTAACGCTACATAGAGCAGACAGGGAGGCAACATCATCTGGTAAGCTCCGTGATGTATACACAAACAATTCATGGTGCTGTGATGTGAAGAGGATCTCCCAGTTCTGCTCTCAGGATGTGGAGTTTTTGACTGAAATGTCGACCCTTTTCATCTGAATATTGCTCTACATGTTCTTTCTGATATGTTGCACAAATTGTTTTTAAATGTTTTGTTTCTTTTCTCTTGGGGTATAAGAAATGCCAGTTTGTTTTTTTGTGCTGCGCATAAAAATGACAAGAAGTTCAGTTCAGTTCATAATGTTAAATATGACAACACAGCATCCAGTTGCTAATGGCTAACGTTAGCCTACTGTAGTGTAGCCTCTGAAACATTAACGTTATCTTCCTTGTGTGTTTCCACTTACTAGTAACATTAACGCTACTATCTAACGTTAGCACTGTAACCTTATTCTAAAACCCATCAGTCATCACTGACTCCGACTGAGATTTAAAACTCCGGGGTTGCATTTGTAACGTTACATTCACCCTCCTCTTCCGTGTATCTAACATTACCATGCCAACGCCTACGTCTATCATAGATGTAATGAGGACGTAATGAGCACTTTTGTTTTGGTATGGGGACCAAGATCGCTTTCTTCATAGCAGTCTTTCTCCTATTTTTCTATGGACACGATCGTGTGCGGGGACCCGGCGCCCAGCTGTGGTTCCATTGTTTACACTCCGCGAGCTGCGGAGAAGAAGATGGGGATATCACGCCGGAGTGCAGCTCCGATACCGGAGGAGACGGTACAAACCCACGGGGTTGTAGTTACGGGGAATGTAAGATCGCTCCCCAACAAGATGGGCGAGCTGTCGGTAGTGATGGCTGAATGAAGCCTCTAATCATTTTCTTTATTTTCTGAGCCCACTAGATGGCACTTTTTGTTTAACAAAAGGTTTAAAACACACCAGATTTCCATTCTTTTAGCCTCTCTCTTTAAACCAAGAGCAACCATCTAGTGGGTTAGGAAAATAAATAAAATGCTTCATGAGGCTTCATTCCGCTATCACTAGCTGTCGGCGCTGACTCGCCATCAGAGGGAGTACTGGCAGAGCAGTGTGCTGGTCTTTACAGAGACATGGCTGAACGTGGAAGTACCAGATACGATTGCCGCGCTGGACGGATTCCAGCTCATCAGGCACGACAGGAAAGCGGACAGCGGTAAGAGGAAAGGAGGAGGGCTGGCTGTGTTTGTGAATGATAGATGGTGTAACTCTGGGCACATCACTATCAAGTAACAGCATTGCTGCTGGGATGTTGAGCTGCTGGCTGTTGGCATGAGACTATATCTACCCAGAGAGTTTTCTCATATCATAATGGTAGCAGTGTATGTACCCCCCGTCTGCTAAAGCTGAGCCTGCTTGTGACATTCTCCACTCTGTTATGAGTAGGCTGCAAACACAGCACCCTCAGGCCCTCCTTCTGATCTTCTGGGGACTTCAACCACGCCTTTCCTTCCACCACCCTGCCCACCTTCACCCAGTTTCCTGCCACACCAGAGACAATAAAACACTGGATTTATTTTATGCCAACACCAAAGAGGCATACCACTCATTCCCCCTGCTCCCCCTGGGAAAAGCTGATCACAACCTGGTTCATTTTCTGCCTGTCTACAACCTCTGGTGCAGAGGGAACCAGCAACCACCCGCACTGTGAAGAAGTGGTCTGAAAAGGCCGAGGAGGCCCTGAGGGACTGCTTCAAGACCACTGTGTGGGAGGTACTCAGCGATTCCCATGGGGAGGACACTGACAGACTGACATGCATTACGGATTATATTGACTTCTGTGTGGAACGCACCATACCCACCAGGACTGTACGCTGATTCTCCAACACCAAACCCTGGATTACTCCAGATATAAAAGCTCTCCTGAAGGAGAAGCAGAGAGTTTTTAACTCTGGAACTAGGGAGGAGCTGAAGGCCATGCAGAAGGAGCTACGGAGAAACATCAGGCGGGGAAAGGAAGGATATAAAAAGAAGATGGAGGAACAGCTGCAGCAGAGTGATGTCAGCGGAGTCTGAAGAAGTCTGAAAACCATCTCAGGACACAAACAACCGGACTCCCAGGCCAGAGGCGACCAGAAGTGGATGAATCTGTTCTTCAATAGATTTGATCAGTCTGCCCCTCCCCTGGCCCAGACATCACTGCCGCAAACCCCCACATCCTCACCTTCACCTCCCCCCCACCTACACTCCTGGCACACTGCTGCAAATCCTCCCCCCACCCCCACTCCCCCGGACATCTCACCACCCCTCACTCCTCCCCACACTTCATCACTTCCACCCCCCCAGCTCCAGTTTGTCCGTCACTACCTGTCAGGTGAGAGATCAGCTGAGGAGGATAAAGACTAGGAAGGCTGCGGGTCCAGACGGCATCAGCTCAAGGCTCCTGATATTCTGCGCAAACCAACTGTGCAGGATAGCTGAAACCATTTTCAACCTGAGCCTGAGGCTGGGCAAAGTACCACAGCTGTGGAAGACATCCTGTGTGGTACCTGTGCCCAAGACTACGCACCCCAAGGACTTCAGCAGCTTCAGACCGATGCCATTAACGTCCCACCTCATGAAGACTCTGGAGCGGCTGGTCCTGTCTTGTCTCCGCCCCGCAGTAGGGCCTTCAATGGACCCGCTGCAGTTTGCATACCAGCCTTACCTTGGGGTGGATGACGCCATCATCTTCCTCTTGCATAGAGCTCTTTCTCACCTGGAGAAGCCCGGAAGCTCTGAAAGAATCATGTTCTTTGACTTCTCCAGCGCTTTCAACACCATACAGCCTGTGCTTCTGAGGGAAAACTGGAGCACAAGGGTGGCTAATCGCCTCACATCCTGGACTACCTCACGGACTGGCCGCAGTATGTCAGGACCCAGGACTGTGTATCGAATTTGGTTGTCTGCAGTACGGGGGCCCCGCAGGGAACGGTGCTGACACCGTTCTCTTCACCCTCTACACTGCAGACTTTTCATACAACACCCCCACCTGTCATCTGCAGAAGTTATCCGAGGACTCTGCCATAGTCGGCCTCATCACAGATGGGGACGACAGGGAGCTCAGAGAACTGAACCAGGTCTTTGTGGACTGGTGCCTGAGAAACCACCTTCAGATCAACGTGGGTGTTACAACTGCGGCTGTATTGTGTAACATTTATATTTCTGTAACATTTATTGTATGTATATTGTATTTTTATGTGAGAGTAAGACCTCTTCTTTTTCTGAGGATCTGTGCCAGGTGCCGCCTCCAGCTGCTTCTCTGAGTGGTGGGTTCTGGCTGGTCATGGCTGCTGCTGACTGGCTGTTGCGGGAGCTTGGCAATCTCTGTCAAAATCCAAGGGTCGTTTGACAGCAGCGTGCCTCCTCGTCCCAACGCCAAACTTGCCTGTGCCTTCGTAAATTGTATCTTTTGTGTTTTCTGACTGGAGAGCGGTGAGCCTTAGCTGAACTGTTGAATTGTTGTTTGTATCCTGCCGCTACCAGTGGTGAGCTTTTTGTCTATAGCCGATAACCGTTGCAGCGTTAACAGCACTT